ATTTTAATATTTCTGAATATCTGGTGCCTGGAAGCTAGCACAAAATGGCTATCGAAATCTGCCAGGAAGTTACTTCCTAAGTTTCTGAATGTGAAGCAGAATCATGACTCGGGGCAGCCTCGTTTCTTCTTTAGAGAGGGTTCATTTTAGTGGGCCCTCTCCGTCATACCTACTTATATTCAATAACCACTCAGTGCCCTTGAGGTAGCACAAAACTTAGCAGAAATAATCTAAGAGCAAATGCTCTGTAAAGGAATATTAAGTATTCTGTTTAATAATATAAAAGCTGTCCCAAGATGTCCTGTGAGGAGCATCTCTACAGGCTCTTTCCTCCTTTAATGAAGTGGTTAGCTTTCCCTGGTGAGCTTAGAAATAGGATTTGCGTATAGTGATGAGGGTCCAGGATGCAGGGACAGAGGGGACAGAAGACTGACTTTGAGGGTGTCAGTTCTAACTAGACAAGCTACTGTTTGAGATCTTTTCAGTGGGGGGCACAAAATACCTGGCACTGGGTCATTAGTCAGTTTCCTTATGTCCTTGGGCTTCCCTTATGCACCACTCAGTCTGTCTTTGAAGCTTTATTTTATGTTACTTTTAATTGACACATAATGATTGTACATATCCAGGGGTAAAGTGTGTTACCCTGATACATGGATTATGCCATGTAACAATTAAATTATGGTAATCAACATATTTGTAACCTCAATCATTTATCATATCTTCATGGTAAGAACATGAAAAATCCTTTCTTTTAGGTTTTGTAGCTAGATAATCCATTATTGTTAACAGTCACCCTACTATGAGATGAATACCAGAATTTAGTCCTTTTATTTGACTATAAAAGTTCATGTTTGTATCTGTCAGCAAACCTCTCTCATGCCTCTCCTACTGCTTTCCACCTCGAAGTTTCTAACGCAGCTTGGTAGCAAGGCAGGGGCAAGAGAATTGCCGTGTTGATACAAACCTGAGTCCCACCTGAGATTGAGATTTTTAAGAAAGATCTTCAACCAGCAATGGATGAGACTTGCTATGTAAATACAAAGGGAGCCCCATTGTTCCTGTGGTGACGTATTGTGAAGGAGACATTCAACACTATGCAGTAGAATTCCAGAGTGGGATTCAACCAGTTCACCACCAGTGTGGTGGTATTTTACTTGTACTGAAATGTGATTTTAATTGTATGTTAATAAATAAAGTTGCCTGGGGGTCAGAGCTATTAGAGCCATAGCAAGTGCATGGCGGCGGTGGCGCACGCCTTTAAGGACCTGGAGGGCGGTACATACAGGCAGTGACGAGGCAGTCACGTGTTTGGGTTTACAACCAATGAGAAGGCAGAACAACTAGAGTATATAAAGACATACACACAGGCAGTAGGTCCTTTTCGGAGAGCTCTCTTGGCTGAAGAGGATCCCTGAATCAGGAAGGGTGAGGCTCTTAGCTCTGACCTCTTGGCTTTCTTCTCTGAATCTTCTCTGTGTTTCTTATTTAATAAGACTGTTGGTTACATCTACACCACCAGTGTATCTTTCTCGGTCTCACATTCTTTGCTTCATTTCCTCCTTGTGTCTCCTGCCCTTCTGTTGAAAGTGTTTCCTCAGATCATACGCAAATGTGCTTACATTTAAGGCTTTATCTCATGATTTCTAGGCAAGCCCACACTCAAACAGTTAATATGATTGGCAGCTCATTGTATGACTCTGATGGAAATGAAGAAGCATATTAAAGGAAATGGTGATTCTAAATTTATAAACACAGTGGCTATACAATAAAAGAAATCACATCACACATACAAAGAAGCAGAGAGCATCAGGCGATGACAATGTATGCTGAAGCTCTTTCTACTGGACCAACATTTGGGAAAATATTTGCTTGGCCTGACATTTTCAGGGGTAGAAGACATACCCTCTGGAGGTGGGATCTGCATAGGAAAATGTAGGAGCATCTCAGGGTCCAGGGCATAGTGAAAGCCATATCTCATCAACACCTTTCCTCTCATCACTTGTTTGTCTTGGGGGTCAGTCAAAAGCTACTGTAGGATACCCTACCTCTTTGGATGCCAGCCTGAGGCTGGATTAGATGGTTTACACTTCACAGCACTCGCTCTAGACATCTGGGTTTATGTGATAGCCCAGACGTGTGTAGTGATAAAAACATATTCCCTATATTTATGGAGCAGCTATGGTATCCTGTCTCTTTACAACTGAGTTCATTGGTTTCTGAATACAAAAATATCCATACATATCATGAATTGCATCGTTTAGATGCAGAGCCTGAGGTAGGAGTTCAGTTCATGGTTCTTGGTGAGTGCTTTTCAAAGAATACACACACACACGCACACACACACACACACACACACACACGCACGCACGCACGCACGCACGCATGCACGCACGCACACACACGCACGCACACACTGGGAAACATAAATGGAACACAGTGGCCATACAAGAATGAAAGTGTCAGGTAAAGTGTAGACAGGGATAATCAAACAAAGACCTTGAGCCAAACCTGTGTCACCTGGTTTTGAAAATAAAATTTTACTGAAATAGACACGACTGTTTCTTTGTATAATATCCAGGCTAGTTTCACCCTACAATGGCAGATTGAGTAGTTGCAACAGAGACCTGCAAAGTCTAAACCATCTGACCCTTTATGGAAAACCCCAGTCCTAAACCTGTCCCAATCCAGGGTGAGTTCTTGAGCACCCACTGTCTCTCGATAGTTAGCCCCACCTTGAAGCAAGTGGCTATACCTCTGCACCTAAATGACAGGGGGCACTGGTTGCAGACCACCCAGGTGTTGAGGGTGAGGTGTGTGAAACGTACCAAGCCCAGCATGGCGGCCCCATCAGCTGAGAGCAAGCCTCTGCATATCACAGCTGGGTGAGCTGTCAGCAGCCAAGCACTGCAGAAGCTGGGAAGTGAGTGTGAGTGCCAGCTAATGGAATCTCACAAGTTGCCCCAGCATCTTGATAGCAGGGTGCATCTTGATGAACACAGGTGCTTCCTGAGGCTGGAGAGATCCTACCAGATTCTCTGGTTGAGCCTGGGCCCTGATTGACTCTCCTGGATTGACCATCTCTCTGCCTGAACTTCATTTCCTTGCTGCCAAGGTGAAAATGGGGTCTCCCAACGAGCTGGTTGGGCTCTGCCAGCTGCTGCTGCCACATCTTGCTCTACTTCCTTCATGCTGTACTTTCCAGCCATGCATGTCAAGACTAAGGACCACTCCCCAGTTCTGAGTCTGAACCTGAACCTGCCATCTTCCCTTCAGTGGCAAATCTGCCTGCTGTTTTCTCTGCCTGTAACTTCTCTGCGGTGCCTTTCCTCATCTGCCACACCTGACTCATATTCTGCTTTTCCTTCATATCTCATCTCAATGCATTGAAAAGATGAACTTTCTGAAAATCCCCTTTCCCTTTCAGTCCTTCCCAAGTAGTCAATATTCAATATGTGTGCTTTATAATCTTTTGTTTAGCTTATGCAAACAAACCTTCATGTGAAGAAGTAGGTGCCTTTTGTTTTGTAAGATAAACACTCTAACATATGTACTGCCTCACGTGCTTCCTGTCCAGTCTCTGGAAACTTCCTAGACATGTAGTGTGGATTTACTTTAAAACCTTTTTCCCCCTAGCAGTTTCATGAATTCATGAATTTGTGAATTCCCATAATAGTAGTTTAGTTTTTTTCAGTTTACATTAAAAAACAAAATACAATGAAATAGTGCAAAAAGCGTTTCTGAACAAAGATCCTTACATTCTGGCAATTATATATTTCTGTAGGCTTGGTTACCAGAGGTGAAACTGTCTGCATCACATATACATGTCCTGTAAATGTCAGTACAACATGCCAGCTCCTTTCTGCAGGTATGGCAGCTGATCAGGTTGCACACAGATCTCAAGCTTCTGAGGCCTCTGTTCCCAGCACTTACACCATCACTGGTGGCCTACAGTCCTCCTGTTTTTCAGCTTTTTGGCAAATAGGTAGACTCCAGGAGCTCTTCTGAGTTATATTTCATTGAATGTTACTGAAGTCGAACTTCTTGTTGCACAAATCCTGTTTGTTCTTAAGTGTGTGTGTGTGTGTGTGTGTGTGTGTGTGTGTGTGTGTGTGTGTGTGTGTCAGGATTTATACATCAGTGCACACACATGCAGAAGCCAGATATTGGGTATCACCTCTCTGCTCTCCACTTTATTCCTTTGAGACAAAGTCTCTCGTTGAATGAGAAGTTGGTTGTTTCTGTTAGGCTGGGTGGCAAGCTCCAAGGGTTTGCCTGTCTCTGCCCACCAGTGCTAGAACTGCTTGCAGATATGTACATGCCTGCCTTCTTGACACAGGTGCTGGGATTTGAACTCATGTCACCCAGCCATTTCCCCAGTCCACAAATTTTGTTATCTTAAAATATTTATTTTAGTTTTAATTCTGAGTCTCTGTGTGCCAGTGTGAGTGTGTGCACATGAGTACAAGTTCTTGAGTTGGCCCGAGATGTTGTATGCCCCTGGAGCTGAAGTTACAGGCATTTGTGAACTGCTAACTACAGGTGCTGAGAATCAAACTTAAGTTCTCTACAAAAGCACAACGGACTCTTAACCATTGAGCCAGTTCTCTACTGTCCCCACATACTGGGTTTTTGTTTGTTTGTTTGTTTGGTTGGTTTGGTTTTTTTTTTTTTTTTTCGAGACAGGGTTTCTCTGTCTAGCTTTGTGCCTTTCCTGGAACTCACTTGGTAGCCCAGACTGGCCTCAAACCCACAGAGATCCACCTGGCTCTGCCTCTCGAGTGCTGGGATTAAAGGCGTGCACCACCACCACCCAGTGATACTGTTTTGACAACACAAGTAGCTGTTTAATGATAGAAACTTGGCGTTTATCATTCTGTCTGATGCTCTTCCACTCATGTCCACAGTCTGGGGAGAGTTTTTGGCTGGAGGGATGTGATGACGGTGGGGGTGGTTGGAAGGTCCTGCTCTGTTTATGACCATCTCTTTCTCTTCATTTTCAGATACCACCCAGATGAACAATGCAGTGCCCACTTCTCCTCTGCTCCAGCAGATGGGACACCCACATTCATACCCCAACCTGGGCCAGATTTCTAATCCATATGAACAGCAGCCTCCAGGCAAAGAGCTCAACAAGTATGCCTCCTTAAAGGCAGTCGGTAAGGGCATCCTACGTGGATCTGTTTTCTTTTCCCTCCTTCTCCTCTACTTGACTTCTCCCTATGGACTTTTTTACTCTTTTTTTTTTTTATTAAACCTATTTCTCTTCTTTTCTATTATCTATCTGTCTGTCTATCATCTAGCTATCATATATCTGTCGATCATATATGTATATATATATTAACCAATTTATGTATGTATCTACCTATGTATATGCCTATGTTTGTGTGTATCTATGTGTGTGTATCATGTATCTATACCTATGTATATGTCTATGAAACTATCATCTATCTATGTATATATATATGTCTATTTATTAATCTGTCATCTATCTATCTATCTATCTATCTATCTATCTATCTGTCTATCTATCTAGAATCAGGACTCCCCTAGTTGCTTCCTCTGAACCAGTTGAGTCCTGCCTTGCTTTGTGGGCAGTGTGGTCTTCTGGGGCACCTGTTTACTTAGGACTCTTTCCTGGCGATGCTCATGTGGTCCACTTATGTTTAACCCTGTTTAGCATTCCCCATCTTCCCTAGGTAGTCCTCAGGACCCTCAGGTGTAGAATCTAGTCTATTAGTTTTAGCAATGTCTTGACTTTTAACAAGGTAACCTCCATCACCCACACATCCCTTGCCAACTCCAAGAAGTGAATATATAGCACAAATATTTGCTAGGTAGCCTTTCTCCCTCAGAATGTGGCATTTCCTGGGGAAAGGCGGTCTAGACTCTAGAGCTACTAGAAATGTTGTTCTTACCAAGTGTGCAATACTACATTTGACCTCTTAAGCATGCTGTCTCACTGATCCATGGAAGAAAACACAATTAGCACTCAATGACTGGATTAAGAAACCTCAACTAAAGCGTTGATGCACCAGAGCCAATGGAGCAGGAAACAGAGCTGAGACTGTGCAGGCGCCTCTGTCACCCCAGGACCTCTGTCCCTCCCACTTGAACAGAACATGGCACTTTGCTCTCAGACACATTCCACTGGATGAAGTTACAGCCACAGCAAAGTCATCAGTTCCTGGTTTGTGTTTGGTTGGGGCAACTCATGTTCTCAATGTGCAGATGATCCAGCATCACCTGAGTGCAGAAAACAGTACCCGGGCCCAGTGCACCTTGGGGATTGTAACTGAGCTAGGTGAGGGTGGAGTTCAGACACAGACATTTGAAAAAAAAAACAAAAGGGGCTGGAGAAATGACTCAGTGGCTCGTCTAGAGGGCCCAGGTTTCATTCCTAGCACCAACATGGTGGCTCATAACCATCTGTAAGTCCAGTTCCAGGGGATCTGAAACCCTTTTCTGGCCTCCACAAGTACCAGGGATGCACAAGGTACACAGAGATATATGACTAAACACCCATGTATGTGAAATTTTAAAAGTCTAGATGTTTCTAATATGAAGCCAAAGCTGAAGGCTTCCTGACTTGGATTATAGCACAAGTCAGCATTCAGAAGAACTGGACCTCAACTCCACTGCTTCTCTTCATGTCCTCTCCCAAATCTGGCGCCTGCTTCCTACATTCTTCTTACTCACTCTAGACACAGAAAATTTGTTTCCTTCTTGTTACATCCTGTGGGTTTCGTTTTCTAGTCCTATTTTTGAGGAGAGATTTTTAAGTCTGCCTTACCATTTAACCTGCCCCTTCTCTGAGTTTATTTTTTGAGGAGTTGAAAAAAGCCAGACAGATATGAACTCAAATCGTGGCTCTACCACATAGCTTCTACCATGTGCAGCATTCAACCCCCAGGAGTCCTCAGTTTTCCAGTTTATAAAATGGGCAAACAGAGACCTTTCAAGTGAAACAAGCTAAGTCCCACCGTTCATAATGTCTCTTTTTCCCAGATCCCCACTCTCTTGTGAGCAGCCATGCAGACTGACTCCTTTCTTGGTTCTATCTTCTCTCAGGCTCAGCTTGGGTCTCCCTGAAAGGTCTTCATTATCTTTAAATATTCTCCTTACAGAAGACTCTTCTCCTTCACTAAAGGATTGGCTACCAGGGTCTTTGGGTCATAGAACAACTCCCTTTGCCTAGAATTCCATTTGATTTATTGGGAGAGCTCTTTCTGCTCTTCTGGCCACTTCCAGGACTTACTCATTTATCCTCATATAGTTTTGCTTCCAAGAAACATTGGACAGTAGAGGATGCCACAGATATACTATCTTTTCTAAGCAATTGTTTGGACAGTAGAGGATGCCACAGATATACTATCTTTTCTAAGCAATTGTTCATCTTCTTTTCTACCAGACCCTCAGTAGAGATGGGATAACAGAAACTCGTTGATTGATTCAGCTATGAAATATCCTAACCCCAGAACTCAAAGTTTAGACACTACCATGTGGCTCTGATATTTGTGGTATCTAAGGTTGTTAATGATAATAATACTCATAAAACAAGTGTATTGGTACCTCACATAAGGCCAGAGACAGGCTAGGTGACTAATGTTTGTAGCAGAAGGTGAAGAGCTCCTGTTCCCCAATTGCCTAGGCCTTCAGGATGGAATAATTAGAAGAGATTGAGCCAAGTGTATAGTACCAAGGTCACATGTTTAATAGACAGACACCGGCTTCTCTAAATCTCCTGCCTGGTAAAGCTTTCCCTGGAAGTTATCCAAGTCTCATGCTTTATTCCTCTGTCTCCCCCAGCCCCTGGGGAAAAGAAAAATCACCCCTTCTTATGTTCTATAGCCAACGATTTTCTTGATCCCCCATTGTTCTTGCATAACACTTGCATCCTAAGCACCCACATTTTACAAGGAAGGGAGAAGTACTATTGCCCAGGAGAGCAGGTGAGAGTGTCTTCACTGCTCACACAGCTGCAGCAACCTGCAAATGCTATTCTGGTCCCACCTCCCTTTCTGAACCCTACAATTTGGTGATAAATAACATCTGTTGTTTATGGGATTCTTCTTTAGACATTAAAAATAATCAACCCAGATGTGTTTTATTTCTTTGAGAACTGGTCAAATTATTCCATGCAACCCATTTATTTAACTTAGACCTCCACACAAACCAGATCCTTAGTAGCTCTTAGGGTAAATAATTGATGAATGTTCCAACACAGCTCCTTGATCCTCCCCGAGATTTCTGCAGGGTTGCTTTAGACAAGAAATGTCTGCAGAGCATTTGGAATGAAATTTTCAATATGAAAATATGTTTGACACTCCCTATGTAACCCTTTCTTCTGCAACTAGGAACTGCTGAAATATTTTTTTGCATGAATGAATGAATTTGCCATTGGCAAGAATCAGAGACTAGCTGGATTTTAAAAAATCATCTTTGTATCTTGTAGCAAATGGAAGGATCTCTCTTGGGGTTTTTGCCCCAGTCTAGTAAATGGCTAACAGGCTTCCCTTCCCGTCCTTAGATGATGGTGGAGTTCTTGGGATTGAACTGAGTGGTGGGTGATCTGGTGCGTCTCCTTTGAGTGGAGTGTCAGTTTGTGGCTGACAAGGTGACTCCCCAGGACTCCAGCATCTGCCTGCATCAGTGAACTGCAAATCCCATAATAAATGTTCTTTCAAAGGTTCATTGTTAAGGTGTAATGCAAACTTGGTGTGAGTGGGGAAATGCATTTCATTAGAGGATGGTTACCACCCAGGGGCCAGGCTGTTTAAAATGATCTGCCACCCCCTGGAGCTCACTGTGTGAAAACTTCCAATCCAGTGGACAAGGGAGGCCTAGCCAACCTCTAGTGTTAACTGCCAACTTAGAAAAGACCCCTAGAAAATAAATCTACCTTGAAAGTTTTAATATCCAAAGTATCAGATGCTTACCTACCAGGTGCTCCATTCTAGTCCTGGCTCTGCCCTTACCTAGCTGTGGGCCGCTGAGTCAGCCCCTGAAATGCCTAGATTTCTACTTCACAGGATAAGCAAGGAGCAGAACTGAGTGGTACCCAACGGCACTCTAATTTTTATAATTGTAATATTAAACCATTCCACCTCTTCTAGTTATCAGAATAACTGTGGGGCTGAAACATCACACACACATCCTGCCCGTGCTGGTGGGAGATCAGATTTAAAAAAAAAAAAAAAAAAGATCATAAGCTTCTTTTTAACTCTGATGTAGATCCCCAAACCTGTCTGCCTTTGTCTCTCCTTCTGTTTTTGCTGCTTTATTGAAATCGCCCCTTTCATACTTCAAACTTTCTTCGTTTAGACTTCAGGGTCTCAACACATACCATTTGGTCATCTCAGACATGTGACAGTGGACTGGCCTGTTCCCAGGGGCTCACTGCTAAGCTATTGGCAAAAGACTAGTAAACAAGGAGGAAATGTCAGGCGCTGAGTCACACAGGACTCTGTGGGGGAAAGCATGCTGGAATGAGATATCATTCATTCATTCATTCATTCATTCATGTGTTCATTTATTTCTTCTCCAGGTACTAAATTTGATGTCCCTTGACTATAGGTGACACTGAGGTATGGACCTGGCCAACCCCATCTACAGTATCACAGCACCATATGGGGCTTTTCAAACTATCAGTGCCCTCTGTAAAGCCAGTGGATTGAAATGTGACAGTTATCATGTCAAGTCAGAACCTGAGGTGACCAGTGAGAGGGAAGAATGTACATGAAACTAAAGTTGGTCAGGACTCAAACATTATAAATGATTTCAGAAACTATCAGGTTTTTGGTCTCAGTTTCTCCTGTGTAGAGGAATTCATAACCACATACAGTGAATGGCTCAGATGGAGCCAATGATTCGGCTCAGGAAAAGTTCTTCATGTGTAGTAGCTTCTACAGCCCATCACATTTTCCCTTCCAGAAGCTCTGCCTGCCAGTCACTCCCTGCTAGTTCCCCAGATACATCAGGACCTTGGTACGCATGCATTTTGATCTGGGGGAGAGAGCAGAATCCATATTCTTTACATCAGTTTGGGAAAGATACACATGCTGCAAGTTAGCTCACATTAGGGATCTGGTAAAAACACCAACAAGAAGAAGAACAAACAACAAATGACTTTTCTGCAACCTTAACTATCAGCAAAGCCAGCCCAAGCCACTTCACTGTCTCCACCTAAGTCTGCAAGAAATGGGGTGCAGATGCGCCCCCAAGGAGGACGTGTCACTTACCTGACTCCCAGTTTGGAGATGTTTCCAATCAAGGTTGCAGCTGAGAAATGTGCCTTATAGGTTGACATGGTTATATATTGCCCTTCCATGAACCCAGTCACCGTGTACTGGACAGGTATATGGTGAGGACAGCTGTGCCTCTTCATAGTACAGTGTTAGTAAGGCAGAAGTGTCCCTGAAGGTATCCTTCAGAGAGGGAGTACTCAAATCCTGCCATCTATTTCCCAAGTGCTGGGATTTTTATTACAAGTGTACATTACGATGTTGAGACTATCTGGCTTTAAAATCTCTTTTAGGATTATTTTAAAAAGGACAGTATGTGTCTTTTTTTTTGGGGGGTGGTCAAAGGAATGCAAATGCACCTATGCATTTTGATTGTTTTATGAACCTTAAATATAATAGAAAACATCCCTATTCTTCCATCTGGTCTCTGTGGATTCCCACAGCAGATATTCCTCCTCATGCAGTGCCTACAGCAGTCCCAGCTCTTACCTCCACCAAAGAACCTCATGCATCACAGCAGCAGTGACTCATTTGTATTTGTAAATTAGCCTATGATCTGAAAACTCTTTGCTGCTTACTACCTAGTTGGTTTTTCTGTTGTTTTGCTTTTTGGCTGGGTTGTATAGTGAGACTTTGAAAAAACAATATCTTAAAAGTTGTGCTAAAATATTAGCTAATTTATTATTTACCAGAGAGGGAGTACTCCTATCTCTAGAGCAGGGAAAATGCCATCCTATTATATAATTCCCAATGGACATCACACATAAACAGGAAGTTGCCTGCAGACCGACTTTATCTCCCATCTGCCCTGATCCTAGGATTCTGAGGTTTCCTGTAGTACCTGTTTGGGAGTCCATGCACCTGTCATCTTATTAAATATACTCATTGTTAATGGATTCATAGAAGAAAATTTGTTACTGCCTGGTCAGCCCTATACCCTGGCTTGGATGCTGGGGAAAGGTGACAAAAGACTGAGTCCTGCCTTAAAGGCAAACTGAGAAATTTGATTCATGGGGAGGATGACTTTCTTGGAGCCTGTGACTTGGAGGTTGGTCAGACTGGTGTCCATGAGCAAAGGACCTATTTCCAGATCACCCTCGGTTGTGGGGAAAAGACATGGCAAAGCGTAGCAGGCAGGGCAGTGAGCTTTAACTCACTCCTGTCACTCCAAGTTCCTCTCTGTTTGAGTGATGAGGGTGTAGGGTTCGGATCCCCAGGGGGTACATGGCAATTTGAAAGTTCTTTGGCATACCGGGGAGGCCAACCAGAAATGTTTAAATGGGGCCAAATCTGTGCTCTATAATCATTCCGGTCACAGACTGTTCCCTGAATCTCCTCTCAGCTGGCAGCCTGTTAGGTCTCTGGAAATAGTGTAGAAAGTGTTCAGGACTTGGTCTGCCCAAGTAGGTTCCTAGGAAAGGAAAGGAGAGCCAGAAGCACTCACTGATTGGTCAGGCTTTCAGCCAATGGGACGAGGCTTTCATAGGCAGAGGTTGTCCCACTTTAAATTAAACTCAATTTTACAAAAGACTGTTAATGAAGGAGTGGGGTACACTCAGAGTTCTTCATATATTTGTTGATTTTATGAGAAGTATGTTTATATTACAAGAAGCTCTGTTAATGAGACCACTCCCGCAGGGGCTACTGGGTACATCTGGAATTAGATTTGGAAAACCTGATTTATAACTCAAATTTCAGCCCCACACCTGTTCTGTAAAGCAATGGTTTACTCATTATGGGATTCTCAGAGAACAAGCTTGATCCCTTTTGCCTTGGGGGGATTTCCCTGCTTAAGGAAAAGTGACTCTGGAGAAGAGTAAATTCTCTCACTCTTTCAACAGTATCTTTCACACTTGGGCATTGTGGTGAGGCACGTACACAATGCAGCATTTAACACCATGGGCAGGAGAGCATGCTCTGATCATGGGCTTGGAGCATGACTGAACAATGATGCAGCCTCCTATTCCAGAAGAATATCTGCAGCAAATGGGAAGCAAATTCCTCATCTTCTCCACTTGTGTCCAAACCGACCTTCCATAGTGAGTTGAAACTAGAACCAGACTACTGCCTGATACTCCTTCCTCTGCTGATGCTGCCTTGGATGTCCAGGGCATGTTTCTTGATGTCCCGTTAGGTCTTGGAAGAACAGGTACATATCTATTGCAAGCTCATACTGGTTCCCTCCTTGTTCCCTGGGTCCCCTGAGGCCAGATTCCTTGGATGCGGTAGTTCAGACAGCATCCAGGGGTATGAGGGACAAGCATGGGCTTCCTGACAACCAGATCAGCATCTCTTGATTGTTATTTTTTTAGGAAATTCTGATGGTGACTGGGCAGTGGCGACGCTTAAGTCACCAAAAGGTATCGTATTGCTTTTTCTGGCTCTTTATCCAGGTGTTGTCAAACTCAACATTACATAACGAAGGGACAGAGAGTCCCAGTGTTTGTATGTGACCCAGTTATGTGTGTGTCTTCCCTGACTGGTACTTATAAGTCTGTGTAATCTCTAGTGTAGAGGTGTGTCTTGTAGCATGTGTGTGCACATGTGCATGCACTTGGATGCGGTGTCCATGCTTAGGCAGTCATTGGACAATGTGCTATGCCTTTGCTCACTTCCAGTTATTTGTTGTTTTAGGGAAATTCTTCTATCAGACACATCTCAGGAAAGGCAAATTCATCAAAGAGACTACAAAAGCAAGGTGGCAAAAACAAAACACAAGTAAAATTAATTCTGGAAGTATCGCTGGTGTACATGGGGAGGAACATAGTTCTTCTGGGGAGATTAAATACAGTCAAGTTGTTATCATAAGTCTGGAGAATTGGCCTTTTAGGGAACAGAATTTGTTTTCAACTTTCCCAGCAGAGTGAGCAGTGGGACTAAGGAATTTTCTGAGTTGAGTCTTTGAATTAACTACTTGGGTGACTAGGTCAAGTGGTGGCTATAATTAATGTATTAATTCCCTACTACGTGCCAGAATTCTGACCCTTCACATTTATTGTGTTGCTTAATTCTCCAAACACTTGACTGAGTATTGTCATACCTATTCAGAACTTGGTCATGGATGTCCAAGTGAGGAATTCGTCCACTAGAGGAGGTACTGTGAATTGAGAGTATGTCTGATGTCAATGGACACATTGTTCCCTGGGGGTGGAGGGCAGGAAAAGCTGTTTTCAGAACCAACCATCTTCTTCATTCCCTGTCCACTGCTAGATCCTACAGTAGGAATGCAGGATCTGTCCCAAGAGGTGGGGGTAGAGCTCTCTACTGACCTCAACAGGACAAGAACAGGAGACAAACAATGCAAACACCTAGACAAGGGTGTCAGTTTTGCCTTCTGACTTCTCAATGGGAACTAGACTATGGAAATCTGGACTGGGGTTGGGGACACCAATTACAATGCTCTTGAACACAGATAGTGTTCAACTGCTGTAGGTATAGGACAGAGAGAAGAAAATGGAGTCGAGGGATAACTGGGGAGCTGCAGGATACATGAGCAAGTGGGTATGAGAGGGACAAGGACCACTAGGGAAATGGTCTTTGCATTAGGAGGATGTGAGCACCTGCTGCTCGGGATACCTTGATTTACCAGGTCTTGGGTGAAGCTCCAGGAGTTAAGTTGCCCGTAAGTTCTGGAGTGCTGCACTGCTGATCTGGGCACTTAGCACTACTGCTGGATAGACATCTTGCTGGGAGACAAACACCCTCGAATGAGGACATGAAATGCCTCTCAAGACTTAAAGAAATGAAGAAGAAATTTGACAAACGCTCCAGAGCTCAAAAACAATTTGGATTGGAATCTGGGGATACAATAGTCCCATCCTGGGGAAGAGGTCTGTGTTTAATGAGAATCCCCTTACTACCAGGCTGTTGACTTGAGAGAAGCAGATTTCAGATCCTGCATTGGATAATAATTGTTCACAAGTCAAATCCCATTTTCAGAAATACAAACAATTTGGAACATGACAGACCTACTAATTTGAAAGGCATACCTCTCCTTCTCCTGCCTGTGAAAAACTAAGCTATTGGGGTCCCGTGACAGCCCCAAGGAAGCAGTATGCATCTTGGCCTTTATCAGTCTGCTGTGGCCTGATCCTTTAGACAGTATTTCAGGCCATGTCAAAAGCAAAGGCTTGAAAGCTGTTTCCTTCTCGATCCGGAGCACCTTCCCCTCCTCTGCTTAGTGCACCTGTATTTATTTTGCCTTGTATGGGGAGGAAAAACATAAGGCCAGGGCCAACTTCCTTTGAGGTCACTTGCCTTTCTCAAATGCCATCCATTCAACTTATAGAGAAGGTATGAAAACAAGACTGGAGACTTGTACAGTCATGCTCTTCTTCTAAGGAAGAGACAAGTTGGGTCAGGCTTAAGACTCAGAAACACAGGAATCCCAGTCCTGCCCTTTATTGGCTGTTCTTGGTACCTTCAGCCAGTTATTCAACTCCTCGGCCTGGATTTTCTTCCATCCAAGTATTAACCAGACCGTACCCCGCTTAGCTTCTGAAATGAGACTTGATCAGGTATGTTCAAAGAAGCATGGCTATAAACTCTAAGCCCTTATTTCCTGGCCTGCAAAATGGAGATAATCACACCAGATACTTCCTAGATGGCTACAAAAATGAACTAATGCTTTAAACACATGTCATATTCCCTTGCACAGAGAAAGTGGTAAATGCCTGCAGGTGATTACTGGTGCTATTTTGCTATTACCATAAAGTGAGAAAAGGTCTGGGGCTCTGGGAAGTTCCATGCCAATGAAAAGCGGTTCAACTTTGGTTAACTCATTTCTCAAACAGCCTTGACATCAGGTCTTTTATTTTAAGATAGATCAGTTAACATCTTAACAGCCAATTGCTCCAATACTGGGGACCCACGTTTAGAACATAGGGAGAACTTTTTGAAGAAGGTGGGGACATGGTCTCTCCTGGAGAGTTTGTGTAAGAAATTGTAACTGTGATAGCAAAAATCCCTGTAGATGCCTGCTTCTTCCTGCCACCTGTGTCAGTTTTGATTCACCTTGGGAGACAATTGTGTTTGCTAGGACAGGAAATGGCATGAGTAATAATCACATTCATCTTTCAGCACGTAGTGTTCTCCATGGACATCATCTGTAGGGGACACTGATGTTGATCCACTGTGATGAACCCTGGGAATTCCTGGCCTGTTTGTGGAAAAACCACAACAGGTAGACAATACCTCAAGTCCACAATCAAATTGAAGCCAGCTTTTGGGAAACTTCTAAATGAATATGGAGCTACAACTGGAGCACATAATTTGAAGGACACTGCCAGAATGCTGCTGTTTTCACTGGAGTTAGTTTTTGTGTTCTTACTCAGACCACTGACGTACTCGGAACTCTTGTTTCTACCATTGCTGAGATAGAGGCAACTGGAGTGTCTACTCTCCGTGGGGCTTATGGGAGTAGCTGTATGAGGCAGTACAAGTAAATGTCTCAGCACAGGACTTGGTATACAGTAGGTCCAGAGTACGCATAGAAGAGGCCAATGGTCCAAAGATCTCTGTTTTGGAGATAACTCTTAGTAACGGTGAAGGTGACTTTAAGAAGCAAATACTCAGGTAAGGACCTGGGACCCCATCCCTATCTCTCTCAAGATAACCAAAGGTTGTCTCAGGCTACACGAGAAAATTACATCTCAGCAGGTCACTGAGACCAGACAGTGACATAAGGGCTTAACCCTGTATTACTGGTGATGACATGCAAATGTACGTCCTGGGCCCACCCACCCCTAAGGACCTGGGCCTGTAAGTGTGTGTATGTGGGGAGGGTTGCCAGCACATTCTTCCTTTAATGTACCTTCTGAGTATTCTTAGCTTATGCCACTTTATCTAATACCAAACCCTAAATGCAAACACAAACACATAATCGGTGCCTCAGAACACCAATTTTCACATGCCATCATTTTCCACAAGATGCATTCTTCTCAGAATTCAACAACGTTTACTATATATCCTCAGAAATGCAACTATTACCACAGTCAGTTTTAGATCATTTTCATTAGCTGAACAAAACAAAACAGTCCCCTTAGCTGTGTTTCTCCAAACACCCTCCTAGGCAGCAAACACATGCATTTCTGACATTTGCTGAAAAATATATATTCCTCATGGTAATTAAAACCACATCACAGTTAAAAGAACAATGGGGAAGTGCGGTGGTGGCACACGCCTTGAATCCCAGCACTCGGGAGGCAGAGGCAGGCAGATCTCTGTGAGTTTGAGGCCAGCCTGGTCTCCAAAGCGAGTTCCAGGAAAGGCGCAAAGCTACACAGAGAAACCCTGTCTCGAAAAACAAAACAAAACAAAGAACAAGGGGGTGGGGGGGCAATCTTACAACTCGTTTCCTGCTCTGCATCTCATGGGCTACAGAAGAGTGACTTGACAACGAAGATGCCCAGTGTCTCTGGGTCTTAATTCCTTTACCTACCACACAGAAAGACCAAAGGTACCTTGTTGGTCTGTCTTCTTTAAGAGCTTTTAAATGTGATCGTGGAAGTGAAAGGCTAAAACATTATCTAGTCCATAGTAGGTACTAAAAAAATCCTAGTTGCTTCTTTCTCCCAAGAGATAACTATACCAGGTGTGTTCCACACCTGTGATCCCAGCACTCTGGAGACTCAGGGAGGAAAAGCATAAGTTTTGAGCTAGCCTGATCTACACAGTGAGACTATCTTTTAATAAAAACATAAAAAAGAACAGGGAAGGAAGGAGGAAAGAAGGAAGAAAACAAATGTCTCTCAGTGACAGTCGTTCTTCTAAGGAATGTTAGAGGAGGCACGGGACAAAAGTAAATGTTTAATTTGATTATATCTTCATTGGAGTGCACACAGCCTGCAGTCCATGCTGGTGAAACGCTCACTCAAAGGCAGCCTTAAGACATTACTTCCTGATACCCTAGCTTTGGCAATTTCCTGATTTGGGTTATTAGTTTGGTAGCATGTAGTAGGATACAGAGCAGGAGGAATGGAGGTAATGAGAGGAGATTTTTTTTTTTAAAATAAAACTGAAATCCCACCCTATCCTCCATTCTGCACCTTTGAAAGCACGGACAGCCCTGGAGCATTGGGGCACCTGCCTGAGGACCCACAGGTCATGAAATGAGCCTATGGAGAGCGCTCTCTGGCCTTCATAAAGTGTCATTACATCAAGATTGCAATGAACAGTTTACTAGTTTAAAAGTGTGTCACTCTGAGTAGAAGCCAGCCAGATCCACACAATGCAGAGCGGACACGTGTGGTGCTCACAACTCGCAGTAGACACTCTGCATAAATATTGTTGATAACTGCGTATTACTAAATGAAGAGAGGCAAAGCACTCGAGAAAATCTTGTCCTTTTCTTAAAACCACT